TAAATTCTAGCGATAAAGCTTTGAAAATTCAAATGTAAGTGTTTTGTTCTAATAATTATCTTTCTATCCCTTCTCCTCCTTCGAAACCCAAGTTAAACAAAGTGAAAAATATTTAAATTTAGAATAGAGATCCTATTTATATAAAATGGTAGGTTTGATAGACTAGTGATTGAATGTCGTAATCGTCATATAAAGAAAGTCAATTAACACGCACGTGATTCAAATTCAAAGTAAAAGTCTCTTAACACAGCGAGTTCACAATATATCTAAAGCTCTAAATTGAAGATTCAGTTAAATCGTAATACTTCTTATTCAAATAAAGTTCAAGACTATTAATTACTAGTGAAAATTGATAACAATTCAGCCACAAAGCATGAATGCTATTTGAGATTGGCAGAGAAAGATGATTCAACATACAGTTGGGTATTTTTTTATATAAAGGGTGTAGGTGTTATCAAAAATGAATAGAAGGTATTTGAATTGTAAATTATATCAAAATGGTAATCATGTAACTTAATATGAAAGAAAGCATTAGAACAGTATTTAAAATCAAAAGTACGTAATAGTGAAATAGACAACTAAATGTTTAAGCTAGAAAAACAAAAAAGGCCAAAAAATAAAATAGGCATTGAACATTCTAAAATTCGATATTGAATACTGCTACGATAAATTGTTGAAGAAAGAAAAACATTTAAGTGGTATCTAAAACCTACAGAGAGTGGTTACTCTGAAGGAAGTTGAAGACCGAATATCGGATATTTGTCAAATAGTATAAAAATAGTATGTATATAACCACAATATACGATATCTTTTGTCTTGGAAAAGCGACCTATATGGTAGTTTACTCCAGCGTTACTTAAAACCATCGATTGAATGCTACAATATTTATTTTATAAGGAGCGAGGCTCGAAAGTCAGTGATAGTTGGATTTAATGAAAGAAAAATCACTGTAATATGTTATTGTTGTTTTACCTTGGTTTAATATCTGCTTATACTGTACGTATACATTTTTATATGTTTCAAATTAACATGTTTCTGAAACCTACTAACTTATATTAGAATATTAGGTCTCATATTAGTACATTACTATGCACGCCACTTATCACTATATTAAGATACACTTGAATTAGAATTTATTGGAAACCTGTGATATTTTTTTTTTCCTTGAAAGAGTGACACATTATATATAGTATGGTATGCATGAGTGCTATTAAGGGAAAACCTACAACTCGTACTTTTAGAACATTATTAACTTGTAATAAAAATATCTTAAAATTAGACAATTCAGTGCCTACTGTTCTTAATATTATTTGAATCATCTCATTAAGATGATTCAAATGATAAGATATTTTTATTAAAAGTAAATATTCAAAAAAAGTACGGGTAGGTTTTCTCTTGGCGGCACTCATATATAGTTTACTCTGGCGTTACTTAAGATCATATATATATCTGTATATATATTGAGTGCTACAATGTTTCTTATACGTATAGCATGTGTGAAGCTAAATAAAGAAAAGTCATTGTACGTATACATTATTGCTGCATTCAATATCTCTATCGCTACGTTTTAGTTAATAGATTTGTGAAATCTATCAACTTATGCCAGAGGCATATATACGTACCTCATATATAATACATTAATATAAACATAACAATCATTATATTATAATCAAATACTAAGAATTTTACTGGTGAACTTGTATGTATGTACGTACGTAGCATATTTCTTTATCTCGCTTGTTCAAAAATAGCATATATTGTAGTTTATTATGCCTTACTAAAACCTGCTACGTATTAAACAATTATCATATACCTTTTCTAAAAAAAGCAACTGATCATTATGAAGGTACATAGCATTTATGCATTTATAAGTTCCCATGATGACACGGGTTACTTGATACCTGGATACCCACGGAAACCTACAGATTCAAGATATTTGCGGATACTCGCACGAATACTGCAGTTACCCATGGATATCAGATGTTCGTGGATACTGCGGATAATATAAATACTCACGGATATCAAATGTCTGCGGATACTGCAGATATCCGCGGATACTACAGATACCCGCAGATACTACGGATACCCGCAGATACTACAGATACTTGCAAATACTCGCATATACCTGTTAGGTTATCCTTTTGAAATCTGGCGGATAAGGTTTTAATCCATAAAACATTTATAGTATTTGGATATGCGGTTAACTGCACGGATATCCGGATAAGCGGTTAACAGGTCCAATCCCTACCTTTACAACTTTACTTAGGTGTTGAAAAAAAAAAACTTTTCTTTAAGAAATTCCAAATTTAAAAATTTTTTATCTTAATAAAATTTTTAAATTTTAACTAAAACATTTTACTAAGTAAACCTTTTAATAAAGATTGTAGATCAGAAGATATCTTTAATGATTTGGCAGATCTTAAAGCCAAAGAAGGTGCAAGTTCTACAGAGTTGCTAACTCCCACAGCATTACACACAAAGAAATTCAAATTAAGATACAAATGGGAGAATGAAATTATAAAAAAACTGATACACTCTTTTATTAAAATGTTTGGAAAAGTTATAAATAGAGTAGAATAGATATTTTTACACAATAGTCAAAATACCATACATCAAGAAAGAGAAACTTTATAGTATTGGCCAATTTTCTATAAAATCTTGAAGAGTAAAACTAGGCAGTGTGATCACACCTTCAGATCAAATACATTATAGCTCTTTGAATTAAAGTGTATAAACAATACTTTACCGGTTTTTGAAAAGCTCAATCGGAGAAAACCTGAAGTATACAAAACTGATAGATATATTATATGCAAAAAGAAAACAGAAAGCATTGAACACTTAGTAAGTTGTGAAGCATCAATAGAGCTAATTCGAGATATCAAAGAACAAGAAGTAAAGATGACTTTTAAAGAAATAAAAGAAGTGCAAAACTTGGATAAAAAGAAAAAGGAGATTCTGGTCATGATGGGAAAAGAAAGCCTTGCCGAGAAGTCACGAAGAAGAGAAATATAGATAAGAGGCCTTATTATGAAAGAGGACTTCAATGAAATATGCCCAATCTTCATGTCTAACGTATAAGCTAGAGACTTCATAGTAAAGCTTTGAAAGAAATAGATGAAAAGGATATATGAGGAGATTTGGGTCAAAAGATACAAATTAATACAGACTTGGGAGAAGGAGAATAGTATAATGCGAAAAGAAAAACGAGGATATAGCACAGATACCAAGAGAAAACAAAAAAAGAAGTGTGATGGCTCTATCCGACCACTTATTGGAGATCTTTCAAATTGCCGGTAAAGTTGAATCTTTTTCTTATTCGTCGTTCGTTTGTTTTTGAGGAAAGTATCTTTGCATCTACTTACTGTTTTTTACTTATTTGTATATCCTAATGTGCCCCACCACACATATAAGAGTCATAACCATCCATAACTTTTCTATTATATCTCTGTTATGTCCTTTTATTAACAAAAAGTTCATTATATACTTAAAATTCAACTCTAGATTAATTACATCATAGTTAATCATATGATAATTAACTTTACTCCAATTACATAATTAATTAATCATCTGATACTTATTTTTTACTTCATTTACATATTTCTTATGCGCCTTGATTGATCCTTGATTAATCGGTTACACGCATTAAACTGAATCTTGCCATATGACGTCATAGACTCATTATACAAGGTCCAAACTAATTTTTGCCGTAGAACTGCTTGTGGCCGTGACAAAAGCTAGACCCCACTTGACTCATGTCCCCGGAGTCAACAACATCTAATCGGTTCTACGTTTGAAATTAGTTTCATCAATATCTATCTTTTTATAACAACTATCCACTATCATCTGAGCTGAATTCCCCGAATCATGTCTATTTCTTAAAGTCTTTAGTCATACATTTCATAGCTAAAATAACAATTCGGTTCTAAACATTCAGGTTTTGATCCATTGACAGTTTTGGAAAATTACTAATTCGCAGTAGCTCTTTGATTTCTGGCTTAATTCTTGCATTTTTTTGTTTGAATCACAAATCATCTTAAGCGCCACTTCCTTTTATCAATTACTAATTTTGTCGACACAGGTTGTACTAATGAATCTTTCACTTCCTTCTCCTTGAATTCATTCAAGGTAATTTAAATTTCTCATTATTTTGCATTTCTAAACTACTCAAGAATGAAATATTTTCGTAACCAATTCCATAGTAATTCTCCAGTCTTGTGTAAATTTTTGCAGATTTTTTTTTTTTTTTTTATTTGAATCACAAATAACTTTAAGTGCATCATTTTTCTACATATTAGTTGAATTAAACCGATAGACCAGTTTACACTTGCGAATCTTTCTTTTCCAATTTCCAGATAATTATGAACTTATTAATTTGCCTTCTTGAATATCTTTCTTCGTACTAATACTGTTTTGATACTATTCAGTAACATTACTCACCACCCAGATTAGCAGATTTTTTAGAACACTCGAGTGCTTTGCTGTAGTTTCAATCAACACTTTTTTCGATGCCCTAATGGAAGCTACTTTATCTATTCTATTGGTTCTACCAAAATCAGTGGATCTTTTACAATATTCAATTGATTTCCGGCACTTTATATATTTCTCTCTCCTATAAAGATAGCAATTACTAACACTATTCTCGTCGATACTTGTACAACATTTTGTTGCAGTGAACCTCTTGTCGCACAATCCATAACCATAATATAACCAACATTATTCCTAGGTACTTACCTACACCTCAAGAACGAAGGATTTTTGTAACCAATTTCTCAATGATTCTTCAATTGCTGAATAAACTCTTGTAAATCTTTGTTTGATCACAAATCACTTTAAGTGTGACTTTTCACCACAAATTATTAATTCTATCACACACATAATATATAGTTGCCAATCCCTTTGCAAATCTCTTGATACCTCTCTTGTAATGATACCGCTGCAAAACATCGAGCACCCTTACTCTTTATCATTTGGCTGCATAATATTTCTTTCGTTTTTTGAATTTAACCCTCACAGCATGAACTGGAGTATCGTTTTTCTACCGATGTCGTTGTCCGTTGTTTACTGCTTTTGATAAGGGTTCTATTTGAAATACTCTGAATTCCTTTATGTCTTTTTAGTATTACTAATGTTTTTTTTTTTTTTTTTTTTGTTGCTCTGCACAGTACTTATTCGCCCCAGTACCAAGGTATTTACGCGACTTATAGGATCTTTATTTTTAATGTTTTTACTGCCCTGCATAGTACTTATTTACCCCAGTACCAGGGTATTTACACGACTTATGGGTGCCCTGCATGATACTTATTTGCCCCAGTACCAGGGTATTTACACGACTTACAGGATCTTTAACATTTTTTTTTTTAATGACATGATAAAACCAACTTTATCTATTACAACTGCTTGTTAAGTCCTCTGTATCGTCTCAAGACCAGCACCAAAGTCCCCTGCAATAGTTGACCCACCAAACTTCAGATGCTATTTATGGCAGAATTTTACAAATTTTCCTTTCTTCACTTCATGTAAGATACTTGATTATCTTTCTATTCCAATTTTGCTATTTCAACAAGATTTTGTCGTAATGATCTTTCGGTGCAATCTTTACAACAACTCCTGAATGAAGGATTCTCATATCCAATATCACAGTAATTTTTCAGTTCTTGGATAAATTCTTGCTTATTTTCGTTTAAACCATAAACCACTTTAAATGCGCCAGTTTCTCACGTACTATTGATACTATCGAACTAGCGTGTCTAATATACAGTTGCAGACCCTTTCCAATTTCCTAGATATCTCTGGACTTATTACAATCAATTTAAGATACTTTAAATTTCTCTTTGTACCAATACCATTACGTTAATATCTAACAACACAACACTACATATTGCAGAAGCATCATCTAAATTAGCGAATCTCTTATGATATTCAAATGGTTTCTGGTAATTTTCCTTTACCCCAATTTCATAATAACAAAGACCAACGTCATTTATCACAACTGGATTTTAAATTGGCTGATTTAAAATAATATTCAAAAGCTTTTTTTTTGTCTTTTCTGGTACCGTATCTAAGTCATCATTGTAACTAGTCAATATCTATACCCTTTTTATAAAGTTGTTAACTCGAAATAATCCCCATATTGTCAAGTGCAATTGCACTATTGTTCTCATTTAACTATATCGAAGTGCCCATATCAACTCTCCAGTATTCAAATTAGTAACGAAAAGATTTTTTTTTTTTTTTAACTTAATAAGCAAGAACGATCTTACCCAGTATTAACCTCCTCATATCCAACAAGAACACCATGTTCTCTATAGCGAGCAAGACTTTAATCTTGCCCAGGTTCTTCTGTGGTGGCCCTATCCAACCACCTATTGGAAATTTTTCAAATCGCCAGTAAAGTTGAATCTTTTCCTTATTTGTCATTCGTTCGTTTTTGAGGAAAGTATCTTTGCATCTATCTACTATTTGTATATCCTCATATATCCCACCACGCACATAAGAGTCGTAACCATCCATAACTTTTCTATTATGTCTCTGTTACATCCTTTTATCAACAAAGGTTCCTTATATACTTAAAATTCGACTCTAAATTAATTACATCATAGTTAATCATATAATAATTAACTTTACTTCAATTATATAATTAATTAATCATCCGATACTTATCTTTTACTTTATTCACATATTTCTTATACGCCTTGATCGATCCTTGAATAATCAGTTACACACATTAAACTGAATCTTGCTATAAGACATCATAGACTTGTTATACAAGGTCCAGACTAATTTTGCTGTAGAACCGCTAGTGGCCATGACAAGAAGAAAAGGAAAAAAAGAGCAAACGAAAAGAAAGACCCAACAGATAAGACCCATAGAAGAAAAAGACAGATAAACAATGCTGAAGCAAGATGGGAGTCAATATTAAATATAGTGAGAAATGAAGTTTTGAGTTGGATAAATGGTAGGCTAAGAGCAGATTGGTGGAAAATAAATTAGTAGTCTTGACAGACTATAAGAACCATCCAATGAAGTATTAATAAACTCATTTGCAAGGTAAATTAATATGGAGGTAAACCTTACTATAGCAGGTCACACATAGGTATTCATAGAGAACAACCGGGTAAGCTAATACTTGTAATTTAGGTGTTAGGAGGAATAGCCTCCTGAAAAATTTAATATTTCAAAGTATAATATTATTAAACCTAATAAAGTAGAGGCAAGACTGCTGAATTAAAAAATAAAAAACAAAAATAAAGGTTGTAGAGTAGTTAAAATGCTAAAATTGGTCTAGTAGATTGTGAGATACAAGTATTTTTATCTTTGCAATTATATGTTTTTTTTTTTATTTTTATTAAAAATAAAGAAGAAAGCATATAATCGCAAAGATAAAAATACTTATATCTCATGATCTACTGGGCTGATTTTAATATTTTAACTACTTTACAACCTTTATTAGAAGTTGAAAAAAAGTTTACTTAATAAAGAAAAATATTTTAGTTGAAATTCAAAAATTTTTATTATAATAAAAAATTTTAAATTTGGAGTTTTTCAAAGAAAAGTTTTTTTTTTACTAAATAACCCTTTTTTTAACATCTAAAGAAAATGCAGTAAATTACATAATTAAGGTTTATATAGATTATACTCTTAATTTTATTTTTTATAATATTTTAAAATATATAAAATATATAAAATTTAACAACTTTCAGCTATGAATTTCTTAACAACTACTAATCCAAATTGGATAAATTTTTTTTACAAATAAATATGATATTAGGCTACAACATACTAAAATTTTATGCAATTTGGATAAGTAATTTTTGAGAAATCATTTAAAAACTATATACAATTATTTTAATTAAATTATATATAATCCTCCTATTTATAATATGCTAATCTCTGTCACTAATTGAAAAAAGTAACGGGCCCCATGAAATACTCCTGCTAATACAGGGATATTTTATAGGGCCCGTTACTTTTTTTAATTAGTGACAGAGATTAGTACATTATAAGTAACTCTGTTAATTGGAAATTTTTAAAGTCTGCCGAAGTGTCATGGTTACGTGACTTTTGTTTTTCGTGTTCTTACGAAATTGGATAAAATTCAAACTCCGCTGAATTGAAGTTTGAATTTTGTTAAGTTGCAATTGTCAGTTTATTAAAAAAAAATACAATTAATTGAAAAAATCAGCTGGTAAATTTTTCGGCATGATTGGTATATAAAAAATATAATATCTATATCATAAATTAAATATTTTTGAATTTGCTCAATTTTTATTTACTGTAATATTGATGTCTAAATTAAATATATTTTTGAATTCATTTAATTTTTATTAACTGTAATATTGATATAATATCTATGTCTAAATTATATTGTTGTTCCAATTCCAAAAATTACCATAATAAATATAATACTGTTTTACATACAAATAATTTTATTATTATAATGTCAACATTATTAAAATTTCGTTTGAACACTTGCCCAATATGTTTAGTATGTTTAATTTGTGCAAAAGTTTATAAATAAAACTTGACAAGAAATATAAAAAAGGCTCTGAATATCAAATTAGCTTTTATAGTAAACATATTACACAAATAGATGTTAATATTAAAAAAGTTAGATACAATCAAGAATTTGTCGAATGGACTAAAAATTCAACTAAAAATTCAACTAAAGTCGAGATTTCAAAAAATTAAGACTTAAGGATAGGGTGAACATTAATCATTTTTACTAGTGATAATGTTACTAATTTTTTTACAATAACATTTAATTGAAATCAGGTAATGATCATATGATATTTATATTGTATAATCTAGGCAAATTTCGATCAACTTAATGATATGTGCAAGTATGTTTTTTTTAAATAATACAGGGAGTTCAAATTATTATAATTAGAATTAGAAAGGTCTAATCTATTTACCCTAAAACTTTTATGAAAATCGGTTATATTTTTAAAAACTTTTATATATAACATGTGTTCGATTTTTGTATAATATTTTTTTGGTTGATCTACTTATATAAAAAATGATCTACATTCACCCTACCCTTAATATATATCAAAAATGTATTAAAAATTATGATCAACACAATCAAAGCTTACAGTAGATCTAACAATTAAAGATTCTCTAGAATCTTTATTGTCCATAGCAAATACTTTTGAATTACCGACGCAAACATCGAATTATAGAATCAAAGGTCAATTTAACTTATTAAATTTTATAAATACAACCTGAATGTGATAAAAAAGATTTGGGCATGCTATGAATGATCAGAACGATCAGAACAAGATTGCAACCAATAAATAAGATGCTTAACTTTATTTGAAATAAATTGATAAAGAAAGATTAGAAATTTATTTATTCAATAAAATTCATGAAATCTTCTTGAATATAGTATCAAGATAATATTCTTTTGTCATAAGCAGTTTTGTCTGAAAAACTTGGTGTATATTGAGATATTCGTAAAATGAAATTGTTTCTATCGACTTTATTTTTTTTTTTTGCGAGTTTTGAAATCTATAAAATTAAAATTGTTAAAAGTTTATAAAATAAAAATATGTATAAATATATAAAATATTACCTTTTTGTGCGTATATCCAAGTTGTAAGACTAATGTTATGTCCCAACCAAAGTTCTATCTCAGATTTACTAGCCAGGTTTTTCTTTTATTAAAAGTTAAAGATAATTTATATCATTCATGTTTAAAGAACGTAGTTTTCCTGAAAGTGATAAAGAACAGATGAATTTAGAAAATCCAATACAGAATAGTTATACTGTATATAGTTTTGAATTCAGATAAATAAATATTAGGAATATAACTAAATTCAGCATAACTATATTGGTATGAAACTCTATACGTAATTTAAACAAACAAGATTTTTAGATGTATATAGTATAGAGTGTTTTTAAAAAATATTTTATTCTAATTGTCTAATGCCAACCCTAATAATATATAACAAACACCTATACTGGTCATACTAATCTGCATAATTAGAAATGTACTTGGCAGATGATAATTATACAGAAGATTAATGTGGATAAGAAGCTAAATGAGAGGTAAACAGCTCATATTAAATACTTAAATCAATTAAACCAATAAATAATGCTAAACTTAGAGACTATGGGTACTCTCATTGTGATTAGCTAGCCACCGAATTCATGTATAAATTAATTAAAGCTGTAATTTTGCTAAAAATTTATATCGCAAAATGCGAATAATGAATTTTAGCTAATCAAAACAATTTTAAAGTGGTTTCAAACTTTTTTTATCGAGACAATAAACTTACTTACTAGTTAAACTACTTTCCACAATTTAGAAATTGTGCTTTAATCTATTAATTATATGCTTAAGAGAATTTTAAATCGATAAATTAATTAATATATTAATTGATAATGTTCAATTAATTAAATAAAAAAAATATCATGTGAAAACCTGATATTATATAACGAAAAGTTTTGTAGACTAATTTTAGCCTAAAGATTTTAATAGCTGTTAATGCTTGTATGGCTTCTTTAAATACTATATTGCTTTAAAATAATTTTATATAATAATATATTAATGCAATACTATTGCAGCCCTGTATCGGTATAGTATGGTTCAAGTTATTGTCTAGCCATAGCACAAGTTGTGGCTTCAATAACTATAGCTTAAACTAGAGTTATGATTTTACCTATTTAATTGCAACTAAAACAGTCTTCAGATAAGCTGTTAATGGCTCTAAAGACATTTTTTACAGGAGGATCCCTAAATTTCTGAGCCGGGTTAGGGTTGGCTATACTGGTTAGCAGAAGCTATAGTAAAATTATCTGTTGGGAATTTTTATTTAAGCCGCAACACTTATTATGTAGGTAAAATTTGGTTGTGCAATTAATATTTCATCAGGAAATTTTATATATAGATATAAATCGATTAGTAACTACATGAATATATATCGATTGTAATCACTCCCACTGGGTTTCATCGATTGTCGATATATAGCCGGTTTTATACCTGTCGATTTTTATCGATTTTGATCTAAATCAATATATACCTAATATAAAATAATCGTTTAACGACGATTAAGTTAAAATATTGATTAAAATCATTATAGTTTAAAGATCTATACATCGTATTATATATTAATTTGAAGCAATATTTTGAATTTGTAAAACTATTTTATTTTTATATATTATTATCGTTACATGACAACAATATAAATGTAAAAAAAGAAAAAACGTCAATGGCATCATAAGGCAATTATGCCGAAAAGAGAAAAAAAAAAAAAAAGCTAAAAAAAAAAAAAACAAAAAGAAAATCCACCACAACTACTAAATAACTCCAAACAATTCATCTAGATCATCTAGATTTAGAGAAGTTTGCATTGAAGAGCCTGGTTTTGAAATTGGTTCAGGTTTTTCGTTTTCTAAATGGGTGAGGTTGGTCGGAACCTTTCGTCTTCATTGCCCCCAAGTTCATTTTTTAGTAATTCTCAAGCGGATTTATAGGAGGGTCCTCCATTACTTAAATCATTCTACGATACAAAGTTCATTAATTTTGTGTCAATATAAACTGAAAAATGCTAATACTTACCAAATATCGTGCTAGTCGGTGCTTTATAAGTTTCTCGATGCATTTTATATTTTTTGATACCGGGTTTAATAGTACATCAGCAAAAATAAATAGGCATAAAACTCCGCAAGTTTTTAGCGAGCCTAAACTTACGAAAATTTACGATTAGTTCAGAGTATTACGTAGGTGTAATAATTACGAAAGTTTACACTATAGTAACTCTGGAATATTACGTAAGTGTAATAATTACGAACATTTACGGCATAGTAAATTTAAATATAGCGAAA